GGCAGTCTCATCCACCATCTGGTCAATGTTGGGGAGTGGGAACGGATTCATGGGGCATGCCCTGTTCAAATCTGTGTAGTCGACGCACATCCTCCACGAAGGAGGCTTAGGCGCCAGAACTACATTTGCCAACCAATCCGGGTATTGCACCTCCCGGATATGACCAATTATCTATAAGGTTGCTACCTCCTTCTTCACGAAATCTCTTCTTTCCTGCGACAAATGCCTTCGCTTCTGCTTCACCAGTTTAGCATCTCGCAGGACATTAAGGCGATGAACTGCAATCTTGTGATCCAGCCCTGGCATATCAGCTGGACTCCATGCAAAGACCTTCCTGAATCTTCTAAGGACTCAGATCACTCGTGATCTGAGTTCATCCCCCAGGCCCTTGCCAATCCTGACTAACCTCCCCGGCGTGCCCGGCTCTAGTTCAAATTCCTCAATGTCGCCGACAACTTCTACTCTGGGACGTCTCTCCTCGGCCCTTAAGAGCTGTGCAGTCACCTCTCCCACTTGGGTATCGTACTTGATAGGCTGTTTGGTCGCCTTTAAATACCACGCCCGGGACACTCTCTGAGATCCCTTGGCGATTCCAACTCCGTGGGGGGTTGGGAACTTTATGCACAGGTGACGAGGTGAAATGACACACTCTAGATCTTCCAATCCGAGGCGGCCCAGGATGATATTAGTATTGGAGATTATCCCCACCACTACGAATTCCATGTCCAGCTTCCGGGTGACCTTAGTATCCCCTATCTCGACCAGGAGAGTTATTACCCCTCCAGCTCAATAGAGTCACTAGTGAACCCGATCAGTGGAGTCTTGATGGGTGATAATTCATCCCTTGTCAAACCAAGAGCCTTGTACGTATCCATATACATGATATTAACAGAACTTCCCGTATCCACAAGGGTTTTATGGATCAGTAAGTCCATTATATTAATAGTAATCACAATTGGCTCAGTTTTCAGCTTCTTACCTTCTGGGACCAGCACCTTATTCACCATTGCCGCGTTGGCCCACTTCTTCCGGCTCGTGGCTGAATCTCCGCTAGTATTCCCTCCAATGATGAAGTTACACTCGTGGTGTCTCTTCTGGCGGTGCGGCGCGGGCTCCGAATCTTCCTCTTCATCTTCAAGCCCGATGTGACGTTTTTCCCGGGTCTCAGTCTGGGCTGTTAGAATAAAAGACCAACGCTAGAGGGGGGGTGAATAGCGTTTGATCAAGAAATCGCAGGAATAAAAATGAATAAGCGAGAAGTAAAGAGAAAAGAAAGAGGCACACCGATTTTACCCTGGTTCACCACAACTTGTGGCTAATCCAGCCTCCCGAGAGACTCTCTCTAGCTACACTACTATCTCGTTAAGCTTAACGGTGCTTAACAAACCCGTACAACTTGAGAATTCGAGTCACACGAACCTCAACGAACCTTCGAAGGAAACAACCCTTCCTTCGAACAACAAGAGAAATACCTTCTCTTGTCAAGTGTCTAAGAACACTAAAATCACTCAAGAACAATACTCTCTTTTTAGAGTGGATATTGAGTAAACTAAGAACGCTCAAGAACACAACACAAGCTTCACAAAAATGGCTCTCAAAAGCTATGAATAATTAAAGAATGATTTGCAATGAAAGAGTAGGAGTTGTGAAGTAATGTGATGTGTAAAACAGACCCAAACACCCCATTTTATAGTGGAAAAATAGGCTCCAACGGACCAAAGTATTTAAGGGGTGATTGGCACAATTTTTGGGATTTGATAAAATTTGGATCTGCTGAAAATCACCCACACAGCGTTGTCCAAGGCCTGGACATCGCTGTTCTAGGCTTGCGTTTTGAAAAATGGGAAGCAACGGTCATGCCAACAGCGATGTCCAAAACCCCTACATCGCTGTTTTGGCTGTTGACTTCCAAACAAGGAAAGTTTTAGCCTTGAATTTCCTCCAACGGTCAGGTCTCTACATCGATGTTCCATACTAGAACATCGCTGTTTAGGTCTGCCTTTGAAGATGGAAGTTTTGGCCTGACAGCGCTGTTGCTGGGTCAACATCGCTGTCCAAAAACTTTCTGCCAATGGACTATATTTTTGGCTTAAGTTGGATAGCGTTGTAGGGAAGCCTACATCGCTGTTCCAGAAGTTTCTAGAAATCCAACCTTGGCTCAACAGCGATGTCTAGTGTCCAACATCGCTGTTGGAAGACTTAACGCCAAACCATGTTTTCAGCTACCCAGGCCAGAGAGTGCTGTTGATTATCTCAACATCGCTGTTGGGCTGGTTTAGCTAGACCCGTGGTTGGTTTAGTCACGCCGTTAGCCGATGTCAAAAACGCAAGTTCTCCAAAATAAAAACCAAGTTTAGAAAACATTTGTATATTGCATTTTGCTAAGAAATCAAGTAAAACATCTTAAAAACCACGTCATTTAGTTGAAAACCACGGCTAGCCAAGTTCGCGCCGTTTTGCATGGTTTTCACTAAACGACCAAAAACGGAAGGTTGTTTTTGAGGCGTTTTTGTTGGAGAACTATTTAAATATGCCCAGAAGTAAAAACCAGTCATGAAAAATTGAAAACCACTTGGTTGGTTCGGACGCCAAAAATCAATGCCGAAAACCGAAAGCCGAGCGCCGGTTTCTGAAAATCGAACGCCGGATGGCTTGGTTTTTGGCTTGGGCGAACTCCAAGTGTTTTGAGGCAAGTTTAAAACTTGAGAAAAATATTTTTGAATATGTAAAAGAGATTTTTATGAATTGAGCCTAGAGAGCCAAGATTTGGAATTTTGTGCCGGTCTTGATCACATTAAGACCGGCTCAATACAATTCTAGTTCTTCGTTCTTGATTCTGGGTTCTTGGTTCTCAAGTCATCATGCCATGTTCCTTCGCCTTAGTTTTGCTCACTTTAGCTTTGATATGTCGCGGCGGTTTGGAATTATCAAAACCTGTCATAAAAGCGAACACAGTTTAGTACGACGTAGGTGTAAACCCGTGTTCCAACAATTTCCCCCTTTTTGATAATGGAAAACAAGACGGGGATATGCATACTAAGGGATATTTGTTTTTCAAAAGTTGTGAAAAAAAAGGTTCCCCCTTAATTTGTGCTTAAAAAAAATTTTACTTGGATTAAAATCAAACGGTCTCGTTTAGAGAGACGTTCCCCCTTAGTATATGCATAGCCCTTTTCTTCCCCCTTTTGACATTAACAAAAAGATAAACGAAATGATTTTTATTTAATAAAGGGAAATAGCGGAGTACAACGGAAGCATTAAAAAAAAGGATAATTAAAGTAAAACAGATAGAAATTTTAGGGGAGTCCTAGTCTTCGTCTTCGGTTTCCTCCTCCTCGTCGTCGTCGTCCATCTCATCCCCATCGATGGCATCGTCGAACTCGTCTTCATCCGGGGAGCTTGACGGGGCGTAGGAGTCATCGGCTTCGTCTTCGTCACCGTACACTTGCCCAAAGAACGTGTCGTGGTACGGTGGGGGGACATAGTTGATGCCTTGGAAGTACGAGTTCATCGCGTATCCTTGGCGTTGAACGGCCACGTCGAGCCGTTCAAGGTAGCCACCCATCCCGTCAACTTTGAGGTGGAGCCGGTTGAGGGAGTCGGCGATGGAGGCAAGGTTGGCCCGGGCCTGGGTTTCGGCTGGGCCAGCGGTAGGGGCAGTGCAGCGTGGCTCAGCAGTGGCAGCCGCGGCGTTGTCCGACCGCTTGAGGAAGGTTTGGTTGCTGATTGTCCAAATCTTCGTGGCTTTCGTTAGCGGGCCAACGGTGGTGGTTACCTTGAACCGTTCAAGGATGTCCATCACCAAAAACGGGTAGGGGAGGAGGTGGTCGTGCTCGGTGGACGCTGCAATCGTCATGTTGATCATGACAAACTTTGCCCAATTGATTGGGGCCGAATGCATGATCGCATGGATGAGCTTGAGGTCTTCACCGTGCATGATGGTGT